TGGGACACGTGGCGAGGGATGAGGGACCCGGTGATCGAGGTGGCGTGACGTGATTGGTGGAAGGAAGGAGTCCCCGTCACCGGCGTCTTGGGACAGCCGGCTTGGTAGGTAACGTAGGGGACTTGCTGGCTCTGTATATATCTGAGTTCGGGTGAATTGACGTAAAACCCCATGGTGTTTCGCTGCAATTACCGCTTTGGGCAGTGCACCAACCTTACCTCTTTCTCGCTGGCGTCCCCCGAATTCTGGTGCTTCATCTCTAAATCATTCCTTTCTGGGTAATTTGCCAATACAACTTTATGCACTTTTAGGATTATTTTTTTAATAATTTTAGTTATTGGAAAATAAAATAAAATTAAACTCTTAATTTCGCAGGCACGAGGGTAAGAAAGTAATTTGGTTGAGTGGGTTTAAAACGTCAAGCAAGTGAAACTGTAATTTATTATTAACTGAAGGCAACGAAAGGGTAATTGTCTCCACGGCAGCCAATGTCGTTGGAGTTGGACTTGTCTTGTCGACGGTCTACGTGTCCACAAACCAAACATTCGGCGCTACAACGTTATCGACGGTAACGGCCAGTTGTCGGTGAGCACGGTCACGCCACGAAAACGGAACGGGCTCACGCATAGGTCATAGGTGGAGGTGGTTGGAAACTTGGACGGCGTCAGACTGTCACGGGTTGCACGGTCAAGGCCCGACTATGATTGGCCACTTTCTGACGTGGAAGCCAATGAGCCGGTTATCTAATCTCTCACAGGTCACAGCTTTATAATTCCCGGAAGACTTTGAAATTGGGGCATAGTATATTGAGGAGGGGGACGGGGGACCATGCATGATTTTAGGTTGCGGCCAAAGTTTTATGTTTGTACAATTTTGCTCGGAATGACCATTTGAACATGCTAGATGCCACCACCCTTTGAGCTACATTTTCCTCGAATAATTTAATTGGATAGAATCTTTAGCCAAATTATACATACGGTCATTTTTGAGTTCCACGATACCATGATAAGTATGGACGGTTGAAAGTCATTTACGCATAGGGTACAATTAACTATGAGTCAGGGATCCAATCCCCAAGTCCTTTGATACGAGGATAATTATGTCTTTTATATACTATTACAGGGTAACCATGCGCCATTCCAAAAATGTCATTAGTGATTCTAATTATGAAAATTAATATGATAATCATATTCAACAAAGTGATGGTGGGGGCAAATGAATTAATCAACCAAATTCTTGGCGCAACCAATTTCATCAAGTCGCTGCTTCTTTGTCTTAAGCCAAAAACTGCCAAGGAAGACATGCTACAAGATTGGCAAAGCTCCATTTGGTTCCTCAGTCAAGATGGGGTAATCTCTCCAATCAGGAGAACTCTATGTGGCCTTGGCATACCTATCAACAGCAAAGTTTCGTGTTGCACTGGGCAGTTCAAGGCATATTCCATCAAGTTCAGGTTTTGCAGTCATTTGACAACCCAGTCGAGACCTGTAAAAAAAAAATTCATCTTACACAATTCAAAATTTATATTTCAACTGGTTTGACAGAATTTTCCCTGCAGACTAATTCCAATATACAAGGGACTTACGTCTCTGTGAGCCCAAAAGCGAGGTCCAGCATGTCATTTTCCTCATCAGTTGGATCTTCGAGTTTATTATAGTACTCCATATCCTGACCATGAGTTCTAGGAGTTAGCTTTGATGAAAATTTTAGTTGGAGGAACCGAAGTCTAAAATTTTCAAGGCAACTTTCACCGGATACTAACTAAACAGAAAACAGTTCAATTTGCATCAGTTTCCTTGTATCCAGTGATTGTTGCCTTGCTATCATGTTTCTTCATCTGTAGGCAGGTTTCAAAGTACATACTCTCACAATCACATGACATGTTGAACAAGCGCAGGATCCTTCACACGCTCCTAGATCACATTTAAACAAACTAGTTAAGGGGTACACTATAAAGTTCTTGCACATTCAATTCCATTTTTAATAACCATTTTATAATTCTTATAAACCAATCTTGAAGGGGAAGTTCAGGCATCAATACCACCAAGACAAAATTGCAAAGAGTTATTAGTGTCTATAATCTATCTAGAGCCCCGAAAAGTATTTGATGAAAGTTAGAGTCATACTTAAGAGGAAATAGAAAAAGGGAAAGGAAGGAGGTACAGAACATCAACTGGCATGCCAAAGTGCTACCTTCAAGTTCTATGTCATGTTCATGAGCAGCTTCCAGCATGGACATGCCAATGGGAACCTTAATATGCGTCTCCATTTCATCCTTGTCAACAAATGTCACGGAAATTCTGTTGAGTTAAACAGGAGAAAAAAGAAGTCAGCAAAAAAGATATAAGTGGTTCCAATAATGTAGATATCGGTGCAGCAGAACACTGAAGATGAGACCCCATCTTCAATAAAATAAGCCATTTAAGGGAATTCTTTCCAAACTGTTCACTGGTGACTGAAACAATGTGTAAATCTTTGGTTCTATAACTCCAACACAGTTCCTGTTATACGAAAAAGCAACTTACTCGTCAACTTCTTTATCCCCTGCCTCATGAGCAGTTGTTGTAGAGAAAGTTTGATGCTTCTTAAAACAAAGAGATATAGGGAGAATTTAGAGCCAGAAACAAAAACCAGACAAAGGTCCATTGACGACAAGTCATCAAGAAGCTTACCAGAGAATGGAAAAAATAATTGTAAAATTTAGGTAAGTTTCCTGTCTTTGGTGCAGACGTCAATGTACCTGGAAAAAAGCATGTCAAACAGTTCTGAATTATATTTTATACCAACTTAAATTACTGCTTAAAATCACTAAAAATAGTAAAAGTAGAAGGGTGCCCAAAATAAGACCCAAAATAAAGGACTTCCAAGATGAAACTCCAAGATAAGTCTCAGACTCACGATGCCCATTTGGATTACACTTCTACTACATTGAAACCTTCAGAGAAGAAAACATCTGCGAAGAACCTACGGCTACAATCTAAGAAAAGGGACTACAACCTATTAAAACAATTTAGGGCAAGGTACAGCCAAGAAGATCTCTCAATTTAGATTGATAAAATCATCAAAATAAGCTAAACTATTATCGTGTAAAAAACTTGAAACGTTGAACAACCCAACATTCCTGCCAATGATCCTACTATATGTTTTCACCAAACATCACTCTCCTTTCACACATATCTAGCTACATACAAAACTTTTCAAGCACTACTCTGGATCCATGCCAAACAAGCTCATTCCTTGAGCAGCAGAACCATAGCATTTACCACACAAATATCAGTCCCACCAATTTTGTGCATTATTGTACATTAATCAAAGTTCGGCTATTTGGTAACTGAGAACAGTTCAATAAAACTACCAGTGTAGCTGCTATTAGCATGATATTAAGCTGAGCAACGAGCATAGAACAAGTTAATGTTAAATGTGAGATAAACCAAAAACAATTCTCCACAAGACTGAAACCTTTTGTGAGATGCTTGACCATCTGAGTTCCGAACCGCGATACTCTAGAAACAAACATGGTCCACAGGAACCACTGAGAAACACCTGGGAAACATGAACAAATGAAGTATTACAAAATAAACCAAAAAGAATGAAAATGTATTTGACACGGATATGTAGAGTGTATTATGTATGCAATCCTTATCCTTAAAGCAAAAAACTATAATTTATGAGATCGAAAAGGAAAATGAAGCTTAGTTCGTATGAATTCGGAGGAAATTCGATATCAAGATTGATAATGATCAACTTCAGCGGCATTAACGCAAACACATGGTTGGCGCCCAAAACAGAGACACAATAGGAAACCATGATATACGTAAATCTTAAAAAGTCTCAATTCAATATTAGCCATAAGCTGCAGGAAGCACCAAAACTCAAAACTTACTTATTTGTTATAAAGAAAGAGACAGGAGCACGGACGACGGACGGACCTCTATGATCTGTTTCAGGCAGAAGTCAAGCGTCTGTGTGCTAAATTTGAAGTCACCAGTGTAGATGCGAAGGTATCGAACCCAAGACCCCTCGCGCGATTAGTTGGCCTTTTAAATTTAGGTCTTTGAATATTAAAGTATCAAACTTTTCTTCTTCTAATAATAAGAATTCTATATCAAAGTGATCATTTCTAATTTTTTTTTTTTTTTTTTTTTGCGGTAACTTTCTCTAACTATTTGTGAGACATTTGAAGCGCACAAGTGAATATACGTCAAATGTGATGGTCGTGCTTCTCCAAGTAGGGTTGGGTGCGGTCAAGTTTGGTTCGGTTTAGAGAAGATTGAGAGAGTCATCAAGTAAATTGGTTTGACTCGATTACGCTATTAGTTTCAAACCTAAACCGAACCAATCTGAACTGTGATACCACATTTATTTAGTGTACAATTTGAGATCTTAATCAAACCAAACCGAACCACACACACTACCTACATCAAATACTTTTCCTCTCCCTTTGGACTAAAGAAAAAGATAACCCAATTTGACATGTATCCAACCATAATCTTGTGCAAGCCCAAAACTCCCAATTGGTCCGAGTCCAAAACATAATTGAGAGTCTAGATTGAAAGTCTATTTCTCAACCCCAAAACTTAACTAGCATATATGGATGGACAAAGAAATGCTTGGACTTTCCCATTAAGGCAGATTGAATGATCTCAACTGCAAGTTTATAACAAAGTACACAGCTTCCAGTGAGGGGGTAAGCCCTGCAAATACTAGACTTTTAGTCTGCCCATATGTTTGTCTTTGACGAAGGGCTCTCTCTCTCCCAAGTCTACTTATCGCCAGCTTTACAAGCACAAGAGACTACATAGTATAATCCGCCGAAGACATGGCTCATTACCATTTGATTTTATTGTTCTCATCGACCAACCCTAGGCCTTCTTTTTTTATGCATTCTCTTCATTATAAATGAAACAAACCCTTTAAGCCCTGCAATCCTAGGGCATTACAAGAACAAGTTGTCATTGTTGTTAAATTTACATATTTCTAATTCTTTCCAATCTTTGGCCATGGCTTCTTTTGCTTCAGTTTCCCCAATCACTGTTGCCACTCTACCTTGCACCAAGGGCAGAAGCATAACCTGCCAAGCTAATGGCTTATCTAGCATTGTAAGAGTGCCCATAGTTATTGCAATTTTTTTTTCGAATTTTGATGCATGCATAGGTGGTTTTTTTTTCACTAATTCACATGCTTGATTGTTTCATATTTGCAGGGAGGTCCAATGGTTAAGGGACTAAGACTTGTGCCCAAGATCAAGATCACTAGGGCAGCAGAAAGATCATTTCCAATCCCTAGTTGCTTCAAGACTGCAATCTCATGTTCTATTGTGAGTGGATATCTTATTTCACTTTAGATTATGTTTGGGAGTATTTTGTACAAACCGTTTTTACTTAAGTAACGCTTTTATTATCGGTATAACAAGCTCGATCAAATGTTACTAGAAGCGTTTTTAGTAACTTGTTAGCAATTTTTTATATATGCTGATTTCATTACCTTGTGCAGGCTCACCCAGAGACTCTGCTAACTGTCCAAAGCACAATTGCCAAGCAACTCTCCATTGATGAAAGCACTGTGACTCCCGAAACTAAGTTTGTCGATTTGGGGGCTGATTCTTTGGACACAGTATGCTACTCTTCATACTTTTTACTTTAGTTTAACAAGAAAAAAAAATACATTTGTTCAATAATTATCTGATCAATGGAAAAAAAAAATTGAAACAGGTTGAAATCTTGATGGCTTTGGAGGAGAAGTTCGGAGTGTCCGTTGGAGAAGCGGGGGCAGAGAACATCTCAACCGTTCAAGATGCTGCTGATCTGATTGAGAAAGTGAAATCAGCTTCAACTTAAGTCGATCTGAAGGAAATTAATTCCTTGCTGTTTTCCAGTCAAGTTTTGTTTTCTAATTTTTCCCTTTAGATTATAATGTCACAACTCGAACAAGATCATGACCTATAATTTTCGTTTGGAATATGGAATGGATTATGACAAATAAATTTATCAAACTTTTACCTTAGACTTTTTCTTAGAGACTCGGACAGCAACACTCTTGAATGCTTCAAGATGTCATAATTCTTCATCAATTGCATAATTGTGTGTGGTGCATATAAGTCAAAGTATCCTTTTGTGCATGAGGGTTTTTTTGGTGGAGGATATTTTCTATTGAAAGGGGCAAAAACATACTAACAGACACTACACCGATGCTAGGACTCGAACTCAAGACCTTTCCTTGGGGAATAACTGCTCCAAACCACTATACTAGTGAGTCTTTGCACATGAGGGTTAAAATGTAAAAAGGAATTGATATCTAAAGTCAGAATCAAACAGAGACCAAAAACTAGTTTAAATGTAAAAGGTTGATATGTAAACTCATCAGGAGTTTCATTGAAGTGGAAGGATTCAACACACAAAACCATATATATACAAATATACAAAAGAAAACTTGAAGATCACATGGAAACATCAAATAGGCAAAATAGCTATCCTACTTTAGTTCCTCCCTCATAATCTCCAAGGAGCATTGGGTTCTTCTCTTGTTCCCCGACAGAACCACCTTATTTATGTAGTACTTAGATTGCATCTCTATTTACTATATGGATATATTAATATGCATCAAGTTCTCACAAAGGTTCTCTATGTACAATGGTGTGGAGTCGCCGGCGGATACTTCAGAAAAATCTTCATCACTTCCTCTCTCAACGATCCAAAGCAGCAATTACCATCCTACAATACAAACATACCTAATTAATTGAATAAGAATTAATAAAAGAGATTAAAGTAATTAGTACTTGCTAAACATTTTTCTCCATGATTGCATCGATCATCTAATCTACGAAAGAACCTACATGTTATAATGTGGATTTTGTCAAAGTGTCTACATGTTATGTTATTAGACTCAATTTACCCTCTCAACGACAACGATTGATAGTCTGATAATATAACATACTAAATTATAGTAACTAGCTAGACCCTACATTAATTAGTATACTAAATATCTTAAGCCTCCAAGATGGACGGTCTCTCAATCTAGTTTTTATTTGGGGGTTGACTTGTTCAGTTCTTAATCTAGTGAGACATGATCTAAACCAAATGAAGATTTATATATATTTTCTCAAGTTTAATCCTATTATCATTTTTAAACACACTAAACAGCAAACAACCAATCGTAACCAGTCGGACTTCTAGGTTCGGCGCGTTCCAAAGCATCAGCTGACGACTTCCTCCTTGTTAATTTCTTGAAGTTCATTGCACCTGGGGTTCCCGCTGCACATAAAAAACCAGAAGAACACATGAATAAATAAATAAAGGAAATTAGAAATATTATAATTTAAAAAAAATATAGCATCTAAGATTCACAGACAAGAAATCTTTGCATAAAGCTTCTTCCTTCCCAGTATATAACCCAGTGAGAGTGAGGTAGGTATGACGAGAGATGTGTTGTATACACCCGTTGCATGCAATAATTCTTTCATAATAACCTTTTACTTAGAGTAAAACTTGCAAGAAACATAAAATCCATTATATGCAACAATGTTTTTTTAATAGCCAAAAAGTAACACTTTCAAGAAAAATACAAAGGTAGGAGGACATTTTCTTGTTCTTAAAAAAAAATTCTTTTATCCATAGCGAACTTGATGGGTTGTCACGTTATTTTATTTGCGATTTTTATTTACAGTCTGATAATATAAAAATAAATTTTAACTTACGACTGCTCGGAGTGCCTGGTGTAGTTGGGGACTCCGAGGGGGAGCCGGAATTCGGTGATAGGTTTCCAAAAGTGGAAGACGATTGCATCGATCATCTAATCTACGAAAGAACCTACATGTTATAATGCGGATTTTGTCAAAGTGTCTACATGTTATGTTATTAGACTCAATCTACCCTCTCAACGACAACGATTGATAGTTTGATAATATAACATACTAAATTATAGTAACTAGCTAGACCCTACATTAATTAGTATACTAAATATCTTAAGCATCCAAGATGGACGGTCTCTCAATCTAGTTTTTATTTGGGGGTTGACTTGTTCAGTTCTTAATCTAGTGAGACATGATCTAAACCAAATGAAGATTTATATATATTTTCTCAAGTTTAATCCTATTATCATTTTTAAACACACTAAACAGCAAACAACCAATCGTAACCAGTCGGACTTCTAGGTTCGGCGCGTTCCAAAGCATCAGCTGACGACTTCCTCCTTGTTAATTTCTTGAAGTTCATTGCACCTGGGGTTCCCGCTGCACATAAAAAACCAGAAGAACACATGAATAAATAAATAAAGGAAATTAGAAATATTATAATTTAAAAAAAATATAGCATCTAAGATTCACAGACAAGAAATCTTTGCATAAAGCTTCTTCCTTCCCAGTATATAACCCAGTGAGAGTGAGGTAGGTATGACGAGAGATGTGTTGTATACACCCGTTGCATGCAATAATTCTTTCATAATAACCTTTTACTTAGAGTAAAACTTGCAAGAAACATAAAATCCATTATATGCAACAATGTTTTTTTAATAGCCAAAAAGTAACACTTTCAAGAAAAATACAAAGGTAGGAGGACATTTTCTTGTTCTTAAAAAAAAATTCTTTTATCCATAGCGAACTTGATGGGTTGTCACGTTATTTTATTTGCGATTTTTATTTACAGTCTGATAATATAAAAATAAATTTTAACTTACGACTGCTCGGAGTGCCTGGTGTAGTTGGGGACTCCGAGGGGGAGCCGGAATTCGGTGATAGGTTTCCAAAAGTGGAAGAAGTGGTCCTAAGAATTGTAATGCTCCGAGTGATGGGCACCTCGTCGCAGACCATAGTCGGCGAAGCCGGGCTAGACAAGGAGTCGTACTTGCGGAGCTTGCCGAGGCCGGTTTCAGGTGCCGGGCCGGCGAGTGTTTCATCCCAAAGCTTGTGAAGAAAACCCATATTGACTTTATATTCTAATTATATTAACTAATTTAAATTCTCTCTGTAACAACCGATGAAGCTGGCTGTGTAATATGGGACAATGTTGCAAGCTATACGACTGTTACAAAGAGATGGGGAAAACGAAGCAAATGAGAGAGAAGATGTGAAAATTAATGCGTAGAAAGAAGGTCCTTTCTATGAACACAAGAGGTTTCAGGGTTCTTATAAGAAAACAAAGGCTTTCTTGGCTTTGAGAGAGAGAGAGAGAGAGGATTGAGGTGGTGATGGCTAAGCTAAATTCAGTAAAAAGAGCGAGCGGCTAAAATGGCTTGATTACTTTGGAGCCATACACTTTGCTGCTTCTCCTTTTTAGTAATTTAAGTAACTATATATCGTTGGGGCGAAAGAGACTATACGTGCAAGAAACTTCCATTAATAATGAACGATGCCATAGTCACCTCTCATATTTTTCTTCATTCTGTAATTACGCACTCTTAAGAAATTATCTTTAGAAAATTAGGGATAACTCCAAAATCGAAAACATAAGTTGGGTGAAATCCGCACATTTGTTGTTGTTGATATACAATACTAGTCCTTTGACTTTTCTACCACATATGATTACATTCCTTTTTCAGATTTTTTGATGTTTACGTATTTTTTTTCAGCTTTTAATTAATTTGTTGTGCTAATTATGCTCCTAAAACATAAGGTAAAAAATTAATTTTTGCCATAATAATAAAAATACAAAAGGTAAATACACCAGACACATCCTACAAATCACTCAAAACTATACCTATGTTCCAGGTATATTAAGCTAAAACCGTAAACATGCCTCTTGTTCAAGTACACCTTCCCAAAACCGTACCTATCTAAACATGCCTATTTAAACCATATATTACACATGCTTCTAATCCTGATGATTGACCATAACACAACTATTAAAAGTGTAATGCTCAAACATAGACTATTCGGCCTCCCACTATGCTCGTATTTTTTTAGTACAAGTGATTGGTGGAGATGTTAAATTTACACACAAATATGCATGAGATTTCGTACATCTGCCCTCATGGGTGGAGATGAAAGAGCTTAACCAACTAAGCTACCCCATTGGCTCCCACTAGTCTCGTTTGAACAAAGTAAAACTAGAGATGCACCCTTCCATAAGATGAAGGGGCATCATAGATGTACAGGATGAAAAATCTTTATATATAACCATAAGAAAACACTAATTTTCTATGGTAGAAGATGTATACTCTGTTCGAGTTCTTTCTTTTATTATGATAATCTAATAACACGAAGATAGTACTAACATTATTTATTTAAATTAATGGATGAATTGGGACAAATATGTTCACATCCTTGAACAATATTGAAATTGCAAGTCATTTTAAATTAGAACAAGTGAACATCTTAATCTCAAAATGAGAAATTGCCAAACAAAGTATATGAGAATTTTCATATATGTATTTTTCTCCAATATGGAAGTATTTATATAGAAGTACAAAGATGTGTTAATCCTAAAAGAGATAAAATAGGAAATAAATCTCAATTATAATAGAACTAAATAAACAAGTAAGTAACCAAAATCCTAACTTACCAGCAGTCCCCCTCAAGTTGGCACAAAGATGTTTCGCATGCACAACTTGTCAAGTGAGTCATAGAACATCATACGTGAGACTTCCTTGATCAAAATATCTACAAGCTGGGTTTCATAATTAACAAAAGAAAAACCAATAATCTCACTTTCCAAATTTTCTTTAATTAAGTGTCGTTAGAGCCTTCAATGGTGACGGGAGAAGGGACGTCATTAGCACTAGTGATATAGGGATGGCTAGGCAGAATTCAAACCAACAACAAACAAGGTATTTTTGTCAACCACGAGTTAAAAAACAAATAAAGAAAAATAAAGATCACAACGGAAATATAAGAGCAAACCATAAAAAATAGGGTCAAGACAAAGCAATTGCAAGACAAAGTAAAGGCAAAGGAGAATTCTTCTGTATCAACTTAAGATATTCTAAAAATGGATTTATGTGTACAACTAGAGCCACAAATGCAAAATCAGTCTATACATTTGGAACTTGCCTAACATTTCATACATAAACAACTTTCATACAAATTGACATGAGAGATTACAGAAACCACTTTCATACACATTAACCACTTTGATTCTCCAAAAGGTTCCACCAATGCCCACACAAAAAATCACCTAAGTCTCCTAAATTTCAGACCCTAGAATTCAAGTGCTAATTTCACATTCTTGGACTATCCAATCTCTCTCCATTCCAGTACTAGCATTCTCAACAACACAATCAAAAAAATCCACGAACCCAGTAGACTTGCTCATAGAAATCTATGTGCTTTCAAGGCAACTCTAACCTCTATTTTCAATTTTATGTTTTCCTCTTCCTCCTTGCGTAATCATTTCAACGGCCTAGGTATCACAATCTTTGACCTTTTGCATACTTGTGGATCATACCATTCAAAGAATGTGCAACCTCTTCTTACCCCATAATTGGCGCAACCCCAAAATCTTCTCCTGGGGTTGTCGTTAGTCCACGACGTTGTCAAAGGACATTGATTGCCGCAACGACAAATGGGCGGGCCCACTTTGAATCTTCGATTTGCAGACATCTTTGACATCATTGTCTTCGCTCTCTGCAATTTGGAACCTACGGCACGACTTATGTCAATTTGGGGCTTAAGGCCTGAGGATTTCAAATTTGGGAATTAAGATTTACGGTTGGTTTTGGAATAATCTAAGGCCACGTGTAATGGTTTGGGTGTGAAAAACCTCAAAACAAGAGACTGCAGTGGGATGCTGAAAATGCCTTTTAAAAATTGTCTGCGTAGGTAGATAACGGATGTCCTAACAATTTTGCTAACGGAATGGGTAAATTGTAAGTTTTCCGTGACGTTGAGTATGTACTTGTAAATTGTAGGTTTTCCTTAACGGATTCCTCGTGGCTTATGGAAGCCTTGTAAGGTATAATTATAAGTAGCCTTCACCAATAGGGAGAATTAAATTCACGCACTGTTCAGAAGAATCAGACCTACCCATTACCTCGCTAATTCGAACCTATGTATCGCACATTGATAAGGGAAGAAGAAGATAATATGTTGAAAGTCAACGGTCAAAGTCAGAGTAAACTCATTTGACCAAAACGGTTGATCAAGTTAAACACTACAGACTATGGTTAGGACTTTAATTCACAAATCATAATTAGATTGTTAATTATGAA